AAAAAAAAAAAAAAAAAAAAAAAAAAAAAAAAAAAAAAAAAAAAAAAAAAAAAAAAAAAAAAAAAAAAAAAAAAAAAAAAAAAAAAAATAGCCAAGCACCCAACATAAATGTAAAAACATACCCAGAGAAGCCAACAGGCAAACACATCCATAAACAATCTAAAGGCACCTTCTGTGCCTCTAAACCTGACCAATCAGTGAAAAAATACCAATAATAATTTAAAAAAATTCTAATTTAGAGTGGTAAAGCCCAAAGCACATCTAAAATTCAAAGAGAGAACAGTAAACTGAATTACTGAATTGCCCTTTCTCAAATAAAAATAATATTGCCCATTCACAAGAGCTAAACAATTTCTATAGTTTGCTACTTGAAAACTTTGGGGAAAAAAATCTACTGGCTTTTTTGTAATAATAAATACTTCACACCTCTCACTTGGAAAAAAAATTATACTGTGGAAAATAACTAGGGAGTCAGGTACTGTACTGGGCAGAATTAAGCACTTACTACAATTAAAGTAATTAAACCAAAGGAAGTTTAAGAGCTAATTCCACCTGGATAACAGCCAGCAATTAAAAAGTCAATACATTGAATAACCACTCCACCCAGGCATTTATATCTAATTGTTCTGGCTTCTTCTCTAAATACATTTCAAATGAATTTTCAGGCCTTACTGGTTTTCATTAAATTTGCTAAGAAGAGCCCCAACTGAAATTTTTGTGCTGCATATTATTGTGTCCTTCCCTTCCCACTTCAAAAAAACCCCAAAATTCTTCCTCCAAGGACAGAGAAGGGGATGCAAGTCTGTGTCCCTCTCCATTATGCAAGAACCAAATGCGGAAGGAAGCCTTTGTCCCAATAAAGCTGCAAAGCAAACTCTATGCCTAATTCCATTCATAGCTGAAACTGGTGTAGAGTTGAAAGTCTTTAAAGCAGCATTCTTCTTTCAGACAAATAACAGACCATTTTTTGAAGGAATTCTGGGAAGCACAGATCCCAGAAGACATCTAAGGCAAGGAAGTTGACTGATTAAAAATCCTACAAATATTTCTTTTCCCTCCCTAGGGAGCACAGCTTCCATCTCCACATAAAGATAAGAAGCAGGGATTTTGCCTTTCATGTTGTCCTTTCATTGTTGCCCCAAAAAGCAACTCTTCCAGCAGCAGGTAAAATAAAAGAGCCAAAACTACTTTAAAGGACATGGTCTTTTACAGCCGTTTTATTGGAGGAGTGGATCTGTCCGATCACCTCTGAACAATTCCAGTTATTAAAATCTGAGCACAGGACTATTTGTGTTTTAACAAAGTTTTAGAAGCACTGCAGGGAGGAGGAATGCATGTCCCTCAGCACATGAAATTCAGAACTAATACTCAATTTCCCTTCTCGCCATCTGCACAGGCATCCCTCTATACTTCTTTTAAAAGTGTATCAGAAGAAAACACTTGAGAACAAAGCCATCATTATAAAGTAGCATACTGGATACTGGCACACTTCATTTCCCAAATTAAAGAAAAAAAGGTAGAAACTAGTATTACTGAAACAAGACAAGTAAAAAAACACAGGTAATAATTTGTTTTCTCTCCCTTATGTCAGCAAAGCACATCTAGAGTTTGTGAAATTCTTGCAGAAATCATTGAGAGGTGTTTTTCATTTACAACAAATGAAATTATGACATATAATGATCACCAGAAATGCTAGACACCTGTATGAGTTAAATTCAAGAACATAATTTGTGAACGAATTGAAGAATGTAAATTAATATTAGCAAACCTTACAAGTTTTAAATTATCAAGAGCACCAGTCAATTCCATCTTTGAAGAGTATTTGCTAAGTATTTGCATTTGAATTGTTTCATGTTAAATGTAATGTAAATCTAAATCAAATGTAGGCTCTGGCTCTTGGCTATCCATGTAATTCTTTTCAATTGTACATACCTGCAGGACACTGAAAAGAAGCCTGGCATCTAGCAATGCCAAAGAAATTAAGCTCTAAAGACAAAGAAAAGGAAGGAATAACCTTCCAGAGATAAGATCAGATTGGAACTTGAAGAATTTAAATATACACAAAGCTTGATCAAAGCAAGGTTTCCCCCAGTATGCAACTGTCCTCAGGGCTGCTCCACAGGCCTCAAGCTTCCTTGTCTGGAACTGTTCCAAAATTAATGCCCTCATCAGCTCCAGTACTTATACACCCCTGAACCCATCAGCTCTGCCTCGAGTCTCATCAATTATAGCTGAAAGTTCTGCAGTATCCTTCAGAGTAAATTAAAAGTATGAACCATGAGAGTCAACAAAATTGTACAATTTTTACGTATACAACTATAAAAAAGGCTTTTAAAATCTCTTCAAAATACAATGCAAGACTGTTTGTCACTGACACTTTCAATCTATCAGTCCAGTCTACAACTGGCAACAGACTTTTTTTAAGCAAACTATACAACGCAATATCCCAAATTTAATCTGATTTCACAAAGGAATTTATTCTAATTCATTTCATGAAATATCTAGACCATAAGGATCTGAAAACTGTACTATATAGCATTTTTTTGTTTATTATGATTTGGCAGAAAATAAATTAACAGAAAGTTGGATAACAAGCCTATCTTACCATTTTTAAATATAACTTTTATCACCAAGCATCAACAGCAACACAACCCTGCTGTAGGAAACTTGTCAGTAATATGATGCAGATATTAGAACTTGTGGGGTAACCTGCCTGCAGCAGAAGTAGATTAACTAGCAGATGTTATTTTATATACACTCAGTTTAAACTGTGCATCCCAGGCCTCCTCAGCGCCCAGATTCCATCCAGTCTATCCAAATCAGTTACCTCTAAAGAGTTCAGTTCTCAAGACCTGATGCCTCAACAAACACCAAGGAAAGAAGATGAAAGG